CAGGCTTTTGCCATACTTTTGAATGAAGTCAATATCACCAATTCAAAAGCTAAGTGCTGTACATCACTTTGTTGAAATGAAATTCTGCAGAGTCTAAAAAGTTAAAGGTAATTTGCTAATTGCTTTCTCCCCTTAGATTGTGCGACTTTGATGTATAAGCCGAAGGAGATGATAACAAATTCAGCGATCGTTACAATATCCTCAGAGATTGGACACAAAGTATGAAGAGATTATAGTTCACACTGTAAATAAACGATTCAGTGCTTGTGAACTGAAAACCGTCGTGCAAATTTCAACACGCTAACGTCCGTTGTTACTACTGCGGGAATGACGAGAGTTTTGTATTTAGCACGCCTTAAAAATTAGTCTCGGAATTTGTTGTTAATGACGTTTCTATGGGTCAGTACACACAGTCACGATCAATAAGACACTGATATCAACGTTTGATTCATTGCGTTAGTCTGCATTGCTGTAGCCTGCGTCACAAACGAAGCTAACTCTGGTTAACCGAGGTTTAATTACCCCTGCGTTCGCAGGCTAGCATTGCTAGGGCATAAGAAATTAAGGATAAAGATTACAGAAGCGGCGTTGGTCTCTCTCCTTATGCCGGCGTGTCTCGGATGGTCTCATAAACACACTGCTGTGGACATGTCCTAATAAAAAGTAGCCGAGAGTGGCGTGAATCTTTCTTAATTAAAAGATGATAGAACTGCTTACACAAGTAGACATCTCATGGTTTTCAGGAGGAAAAACGCCCGGCGGAGTTAATCGTGCCACTTTAACAAGATAATTATAGAACGGGGAATTGAATTAGGTTACGACCTGTAATGGTTAGCTAGAGAGGAACGGAACAGGAATCAGTGATATCATGCAACAATTGAGCAAGAAGTTGTAGTTAAATTAATCAATCTATCAGTGGATCTCGTCGGTGACACTAGAACCTAAAGCTACGTGCAAACGGACGCAACAACGCCGAACATTGTTGGGCCAACAATGTTGGGAGTTGTCACATCCGTGTTGGCATTGATGTGCAAACGGATGTAACAACTCCCAATAATGATGGTACCTACAGTGATCGTGGGAAGGATACAACCCTCAAGACTTTGGAAACCATGTGCAATGCGCGTGCCTGGCTTAAAAACATGTTGGAAAGAGTTTTGCAAAAGGACGCAACATGCAACATCCAACAATATTGGCAGTCGTGGGCCAACGATGTTGGGTCCGTTTGCACGGCGCTAATGTTGCTGTTAATGCTAGGTATATGTTGTAGTTAATTTTTTATCGCAGGTAATTTTTATTTTTCATTTGTTTCAACTTCATTAGCATATATTACCATATCAAAAAACAAAAGACAAACAAAAATTACCTGGGATAAAAAATTGACTACAATATATACGTTATCTGGCCCAACTGATTGTTATTAACTTACCCTACCATTGAGAATAAGACAAAAATAGCCGTTTCTTTTCCCACTTTTGGTACTTAATGTCGTTACAAATGGCGGTTCAAGTGCTCTGTGATCAATGACAGTAAATAAAATGGGGCAGTTGTGGAGACAGTAAATGTATTCACAAATGTGAGGCTATCTATGAAATTCTGACTTTAACTATTACAGTCCGTAGGTACGTATTGAAACTGGCAGCTGTCCATTGCTGCCAAACAACCCTCGGTTTCCACTTTGGGTGCGAACTTAAAAGAGAGTACCCTGGCTCCAGAGGTCCGCTCTCAAAATACCTCAGATGAAATGAACAGTGCTCACGGGTGATAGGGATTGCGCCTCGTTGACGCGGCTTCGTCGCGAACCGTC